ACATAATTTGTTTTTGAAACATCAGAAAGAATACACATTTCAGTACTTTTATAAACCTCTTATTTTTGACCCTTTTCATAAATCTTACCGGAAATGAGGATGATTGGCTTGTAATGTCAGATGCTCTACGTTGCCAATAGTTTGTACGAAGCCTGTGATTGCAAAACCACAAACATTTCACAATAGTGGAAACCTTTAATTAACTATGATAAGCGACAGGATGGCTTTGTATTAAATACCCTGTTCCTCATACATATTGCTTTATGATCAGAGACTCCCTATTGAGGTGAGACAGGTAGGCTGAAAATGGTTTTACAAAATACTTTACCCCTTCTGTGTGTTTTATCTGACCCAGAACGTTCTACTAATATTGGATCAGTCTCTCATCTGATGTAATTTGCCTGTGGGAATTGTATTGGCTCCAAAACTAGCTCATCTTAGAGCAACACAAAATTCTGTGATGCATTTTGACTGATTGAAGCCAGGTTCCTAGCCACTGAGACAAGAAAGAATGTCAAACAGAACCTTTAATGTGTATTTATATTTAAACATCAGACCCTACAGAAAATCCTGAAGCTTTCTACAATGATGGGTGCCTTGTAAGAGCCTAATGAATGTATTGTCAGGTGAATGTTTGTCCTGGCACTCGGGCTGTTCTAAGGGACAGGAGGGGGTTCCGGAACTGCCTGGCAAGAGTAGATGCAGTTGTAGTAATTCAGTGGCCCCTCTGAAAGGGAGGTGTCGAGGCAGCTGTGTCTCCCTTGCTGTCTTTTCAGACTCGCTTGATAATGCGAGTGTCAATTTCAACTGAAGCGCGTGCCAGATTTCAGATAGCTGGAGCTGATATTTCAGAGTGGTGCATTGTGAAACTGGAGAAGAAAATGGGCACGTTCTTCCCGAAATGGCTATCCACATGTGGTCCCCTGCCCCCAGAGCTCTCTGGGCCTCCCTTTTGTCCCGTTTCCCCATAAAATGCAGGAGGAACACCAAGCCTGTTCCCCTTGGCAGCATCTCCATTGCCATCTTGACGGGGACTGCTTTTCCTTGTTAAAATGTGCCCTGTGTATGAAAGCGAAATTGTCACCGTTGGGTGGAGCAGCATAACATGATTTGACACTAAGTGCCGGCAGCTATAGAAAACAGACTTTTATTGCATTTATTCTTTCAGAGACGGGAGTTTCTAAAGGCTCCCAGCAGACATTCACTTAGTTAAATCTGAATGAACCCAAAGTGAACAATCTATGCTGCTTTGTGCTCATACAAGCAGCCCCCATCCCGCTTGATAAGGCTGTAAAACACAGGGTGAAGAAGAAGATGAGCGTTCTTAGAAACCAGAAAGGAAAATCTGAGGTTTTCAAGCCAAAACAAAAATATTTTAGGTGGGTGGGGTAGGTTAACCACCTGCCTTTCTTTAATTTCCTCTGTATTCCCTAAAACACATTTGGTAAAATCAACAAGCGTGCACGTACACTAACGCCATCCATTTTAGTCTTCATTTACAATTCCACGTCATTTTAAGACAAAGAGAATGGATTTGATTTGTGGGACTCTTGCAAGCAAGCTTTAGATTCTTAACTGCTTTTTATCTAGATGAGTATCTAGAGAGAGATTGAATAGGGAGGGGGGCTCTGGGGCATAAGCTTTTCATTCTGTAGCTCTCCTAGAATAAAAATTCCATAAAGTAACATCTGTAGTAATTAAGGACTTACATTTCCTCCCCCATTCATGTCTCTGCTAGGAGGGAAGGTTATTTTCCCTAAGAGACAATAGACAGTAGATCCTGTGGGAGGAGAGAAAGAACAGACTTGAATGAATTCTTTTGTTCCTAGAAATAAAAGTTTCCTACCTAAAGAAAAAAAAAAAGAGAAAAGAAAAAGATTTAAAAAGAAGAAGAAGAAAAAAGAATAGAAGCCTGAATTAGGAAATTATATTTAGCTATTTCTAAATATTTGCTATAGGAAAAGATTCACCTTGTGTTTTGATCAGATGTCTTTGATTCGGTAATACTTATGATTAAATAGAGAATAAACTGCTATCTTTGTTTTTATTTCTATTTATAATGATTGCATGTTACGAAGCTTAAAGATTTCTTTTTGAGGGCCAGCAGGTGGTGGAGTGGTTGAGGCACTGGACTCCCACATGACGAACCACAGTTCAAGTCCCAGACCAGCTATCTTGAAAATTCCAGGGACATGTATATGTGTGTGTGCCCAAGATTCCAAGATTCCAAGAGGAGAGAGGAGGAGAAGGGATTGTGCCAGGGCCATTTACCTTGAGGGGGTGTGATTTCTTACTTTCCCTTTCACTTTCTCTGTCTGTCTCTCCATCCAGTGCATGCACCTATAGTAAAAAGCTTTTAAAAAAAGCTTCTTCATTTGGATGTAAAATTAAATATTAATATTTTGCTCAAAGCAATACTGTGGCTCCATTGGGTCACTTGATGAAGCGAATACTGACCCTGCACTTTCTTGCCATAATAGGATCAGCTGTATAAATTAGAAGTCCCAGCAGAAGATGACAATGCAGGACCTCTTATTTAAAAACTTAAGAATTTTGGGACCAGCAGATGGCATAATGGTTACATTGCTGGGCTCCCACGTAGTCGACCGTGGCTCGAGTCCCAAACCCTGTGGCTTAAACTCTTGCTGGGTGCATGTGCATGCATACCCAAAATCCTGCGAGGAGAATGGAGGAGAAGGGATTGTGGTGTGGTCATCTCCCCTAGCAGGGGTGAATTCTTGCTTTCTGTCTCTCTGTCTCTCCAGTAAGCACATGCACCCTACAGTGAAAATCTCTCTCTAAAAAAAATAGTAGTAACTATTAAGAATTTCAAATTGGCGAAGCAGCACTTCAAACAAAATACAAGATTTTTGCCTGAGGGTGTGCTCCCTGTGCAGACAGGAGTCTTATGCCTGTGAAGTTGGTCCTGCTTAGCAGCAGAAATTTGCCGTGTTTGTCAACGCAGAAAGATACACATCCACCCATCACCCATATTCCATAGGAATGTACATCTGATTTTTTTTTTTAATTTGTCAGAAAAGAATTAAATTCCCCAGTGGATCCTGCTCCTTATTCCATCTGTTTAGTTTCTAAGAGTTTCCATGGCGAACCTTCCATCTGGTCATGTGATTTGTTCCCTCTTACAAAGGACCCAGGCCCTCGCCCAGCTCAGCTCTGACCTCCAAAGGCCTTTTCTGCCTTCTGTGCCCTTTTTTTTTTTTTTTTAAATAAAGAACTATTTTATTTAACTTAATTAATTTATTTATTTGTTTTAATTTGACCAGAGAGGGATAGAGTGGAGAGAAAGAGAGCAAGCTGCCAGGTCTGGGATTCAAACTGCAGTCAGCCATGTGGGAGTTCAGCGCCTTCAGCCACCGTGCCACCTGCCAATTCTGTGCCCATTTGTTAGCACTTCCCTGGTTTTTAGATTTCTGGTATATGAATCTCTGTTATAATAAACACATAGGACTTACTTGGCATTTGTTAACATATGTATTTTTTTCTTCTCTGTTTCCTCTGCCTGTAATGCAGTCATGTAATATGGTCCTGAAAATACACACAAAATTGATTATATGAAAGTTTACAACTTGCATGGATGGACTCCATTCAAAGAAAGCTCACATCAATAACATAGCAGAAAATACAAAATTACACTTGGCCTTTTAGACAAATTTCACACATTTTAAACACTACCTCCCATCTCTATGTGTCCTGCTTCTTAAATTTACTTTTGCCTCCAGAGTATTGTGTATAGGACTTAATTTTCTTTCATCTAAATCAACTGTTTAATTTTTATTTTCCCCACCCAAGTTTATAAAATAATAAAGGCCAGATGTAATTTATTACTTGGAAAATGTTATAAATACTATGCATTATGATGTTATGGCTGAAAAATATTAATTTTTTTGGAAGAGGTTTTTGCCTTAGGATGCATGCACTTGCCAGAGAAAGAGAGAGACAAAGATAGTTAAAGGGAAATTGAGAAATCACCTCTGCCCCCACGGTGGATGGCCCTGCCCCAATTCCTGCTCCATTCTTCTCCAAGAATCTTGGACATGCATGCATATGTGCTCAGCCTGGTTAAGCCATGGAGTGCAGGGCTTGAACCATGGTCAGCCATGTGGGAGTCTAGCAATGTAAGCACTACGCCATCTGCTGGTTCACAAAATGTTTATTTTTTTAGTTTGCATGTGACTTGCCAAAATATAGCACAAGAGCCCACAGTTTAGGGTTATTGCTATCTAGTATGAAAACATAGGAAATTGTTCACATTCAAAACTGAGGAACTACAGAACAAGAGGTTTGCGTATTTTCAGCTTTCTACCATAGGTAGGACCCCAGGTAACTTTCTTTGGGTATCTTTCACTCAGTGGGTTTTTCAGTAAAAGTGTCATGGTGCTGATGGCTCCTCTGTGGTATCGATCATTCCTTTCTGTTGCAAGCTGCTTGATAAAACGTATGTCCTCAATTTGTTTTGTGAAATCTCTCAGCAGTATAGTTTAGTAATCACAGTACAGGCCGAAGTGTTGGACAGGTGTGTCAGTTCAAATCCCAACTCTAGCACTTATTGGAAGTGTAGTCCATCTCTCTAAGCCCCAGTGCCTTCGCTGATAGGAAAGGCAATAACAAGACTTACTCTCAGGTTTGTTAATCCAGTCATTCCACAGTCATTTATAGAGCACTTTTCAATTGCCTGATATCGCTGGGTTCACTGGGTCAGATGCGATTCTCTGGGAGAAAGTCAAGAGCCATCCATGTAGGTAACATTCAATAATAGAGTAATACGTTTAACAATTAGGAATGTGGGATGTGCTGCTATCAGCTCGTTAATGGTCATGGCAACAGTTGACAGTTCTGGTCAACTTCTCAAATCTAGTTTTCCCATGACTTTCTGGTTTTCTTTCTTTCTTCCTTTTTTAAATTTCTTTTCCTTGGATATGCCCAATTTGAAGAGAGTATGTGATCTCCTATTTACATTTATTTATTTATTTATTTTCCAGAATGGAGTCTACTGAAAAATGTGAAGTGGTAATTCAACATTTTAATGGAAAATATCTGAAAACACCACCTGGCATCCCAGGTAAGAAATGTTATCAAGAAATACTAAATAGTGCCTACGTTTATGGCTGTTCGTAGAATGAGTTGGTATAGGACCTTCGGTTAGTTATTGACAAGGAAATATCTACTTTTGTACAGGTCTATTTTTTAATGCCATGTAGCAGCTTATCTCTCTTAAAAGCTTCTTGGTGACCTCTGTCAACCTCTCTTTATATCCTGCCTGCTATTCCTAAAGTGGATTGGAAGAAAAACACAGCAAAGAGTCATTCAAAATATACTTGAATTGAAGGAATGTTGCGACTCTTATCATTCATTTTGAAACCCTGATTTCTAATTAATAACCTAAGCATTGATATTCACAGTGGAGTTCACAGATTGATGCTAACTCCCAAACATTTCTTTGTGGTCTGTGACCACAAAAAGTACAGAAAGTAAGAATAAGCATTTTGAAACTTTTTTTTTTGGGGGGGGGAGGACAGGTTTTTGCAATAGGGTGCATGCGCTCACCAGAGAGACAGAGAGATAGAAAGGGAGAAAGCCCCAGGGGGGATGGCCACGCCACAATTCCTTCTCCATTCTCCTCTCAGGATCTTGGGCACACATGCACACATACCCGGTGTGAGTTTAAGCCACTAGATCCAGGACTCGAACCACGGTCAGCTACATGGGAGTTCAGCAACATAGCCATTACGCTAACTGCTGGTCCCAGCATTTTGAAACTTTCCTAGCAATTTGACACTGTCATTCAGTTTGAGTGGATAGTTTTATACTTTATTAAATTATCAGTTATAGAAAGTTTAAACATTTTAAAAAGCACTGTCAATTAATCAGAGAAGGTTTGTGAAAGTCCGAATCTAGATAATCCCAGAATATTTTTCATATTTCCCAAAGCAATATTCTTAAGTTTTGCACACATTACAAAATGACATTTTATTTACTAAGAATTACATTCAACACAAAAGAATTGCAATGTGTATCAAGACTGTAGATGTCTCAACCTGATAATAATCTGGCTATATAAATTTATATGACATTTGATATTAGGTAAGTAAAATTTAAAGTGTATCTTACTCATGCATGAAAAAATTAAATTGATTTCAAAGTGCTAAACAAAGAAAAATTACGAGTGAAGAATTAGCTGACTAATGAATGTTGGTTTATGGTTTATTGGTTGCTTTTTTTTGTTTTGCCTAATCACAGGGAGGGAAAAATGACTTCTCGAGCTTTGTATTTTCTTTTTGGTCTTTTAAAGCCAGATTTTATCAGTGTTCGTTACATAATGTATCCACTATTTAAAACCCATTAGAGCGTTCAGGGATTGGTCATTATTCCTTAAAATAAATTGAACTACCTAGGACTGGAAGTGTGAATTTAAAAAAAAAAAAATATTTTTATGGAGGAGTCAGGGATCCTTTTACAAGTTGGTTAGTTTAGGGTTGATGTCAGGAAAGCAGAGAGACCCTTCAGACAGACACTTGGATAATCTGAAAAATCCCAAGTAGCTGATCACTAGTTACTCAGTGAATCGAAGTACAGTGAAGACTGCCCTTGACTTGGTAGTTTCCATGTGTTGTGTTCCCATGAGAGCTGACTGCATTAGGATCCGATTGGAGACATATGGTATTGTTAGGAAAAGAGTTAGCAGTTTTCATCTCAGCATGTAAGCTGCCCTTGCATTTTAAGAGAAATACTTTTTTTTTTCCTCTTAGCATACACAGACATTTTAAGACACTCTGCTCAGACCCATCAATAAATAAAGGAATTGAATTGTTTTTAGATTTTCCCCTTCCTCACCTCATTTTACTCAACAGATTCCTATCCACATAAAAGACATTCAAAGTAGGTGTAAATTGTATGGTTATACAAAAAATTCAAAAATTAGCACGCTATGGAGGATTATTGTTGATTCAAGGTTTAACACAGGTCTCAGTTTTGTTAAGTGTCTTCTTGTTTAGAAAAAGTCATATTGAAATCCTTCTTGATCTGATTGATTTGAAAGTATTTTATCTGGTGTTCTCTATAGCACATAATGCTGACTAATAATACAATTTAATGAAGACAAAGCAAGTCACTACAAATCCCCAAAGGCCTGGCATCCTTCCCGGCTGAGATATTAACCTATCTAATATCATAGCTACACCCAATGGAAACATTGTGAATAGCAAGAACTAGTTTTGAGTTTCTTACTTTTATCCCATGGGAGCGAGAAAGGCAAAATAATTTTGCTCAGTTATAAAACTCTTAAGAGATATAACTTTTTGTTTCCAAGATTTCTACTTAATAGAATAGATTAAAATACACAATGTTGATCACAGCAGTACTTGAATTTTCTTATTCATGCATTACTTTGGAAGTCAAGTAGAATTTAATATAGTTGTCAAGTGCTAACTGAAGACATTTCATCTTTAATACTTACCTTTGTGTGGAATAAAGGCACAATACAAGACAGAGGTATTTTGGAAGGTTAAGTATAAAATGCTCTTGTTGGGTATAATTACTAAGTCACTGCTTAGACCTAGCATTAGAAAATATAATCAAATTTGTGTATATGCTATCTGCCCTTATAGGTCTCTAAGGCTTGTTTGTTGAGGATTGTTAAAATTGTACTTTGAAGGAGTAGCAGATGGTGTAATGATTATTTCACTGTACTCTCACATAGTCGACCATGGTTCAAGTCCCAGACGAGGCAACTTAAAACTCACAGTGGGCATGTGTGCGTGCATGACCAAAATCCTGAGAGGAGGAGAGGAGAAGGGATTGCGGCGTGACCATCCTCTCTGGGGTGGAGGTGACCTTGTTTTCTGTTTGTCTGTTTCTCTGGGGAGTGCATGTACCCTACAGCAAAAATCTCTAAAGAAAAAAAAAATTGTACTTTGAGAAACTCATCTTAATCTAATTTTCTATACCTCTTAGAGAGTAGGGTAGCACTGAGTCCTGATATCAGGTTGGAAGCAGTTCCTTTGATATTTTTCAAAATGAAAAATATCTTCACCTTTTTCAGTACTTTAGAGAGCTTGTTCTTACTTATAGTTGTGCTTATTAAAATCAACTATAAGGTCAACCAGTGGTATAGTGGTTAAGGTGATTGGATCCCACATTGCCCACTGCGTGGTTTGAGTCTTAGACCCTGCCACTTGAAAACACTCTAATTTCATGCATGTGCCCACAATCCTGAAAAGGAGAGAAGATTGCGATGTGCTTGTCCCCCACAGGGAGTGCTTTCTCGGTTCCTCTCTGTCTCTCTCTTCCAGCAAATGCAAGTGCCCTCTAGCAAATTATAAACAAAAGCCAGTTGTAACTGGTCTGATCCACTTCCAACTAAAATAAAATTTTAAAAAATGTTTGAAAAATCTCACTGTTCTCTAATATTGAGAATTGACATCTTAGTGGTTTTAAGCGCGTGGTTTTAGAAAATTGCACATCGATGGTTTCAGTTCAATGCTTTGAGTTGTGTGGATGAGGGAGCCACCGTGATCCAATAATGACCTGAAATCCTCAGGCCCTGAGAAAGCTGTTGAAAGGATTAAATGTTGAGTCAATCATCTTCTCAGACTAGTGCCCTGCTTTTAACCCTCTTCAAAGCCAGTCCAGAGCAATTTGTATTCGTATTGCTACTTCTCCATTCAGGGAAAACTTGAGAAAATGCATGTGTTTTTGGGCAACTGGTGCAGTGTCATACTGATTTCTGACAAGTGACAATAAAATTACTCTTTAAGAATATGTGAAGCTGATTATTTTCCTGAGATATTGTCTAGCTTCCAAATCCCTACTGTTTCATTTCTGTTACAAACAAACAAACAAAAAACAAAATGAGCTGGCATGTGGCATGGTAGTTAGTGGCATTGGACTCCCACATGGCCATCAGTGGTTTGAGTCTCAGACCTGGTGGCTTGCTTTCTCATTCTCTCTCTCTCTCTCTCTCTCTCTTCCTCTCCCTCTCTGGTCAAATTAAAATAAATAAATTAAATAAAACAATTCTTAAAAAAAAAAAAAACAACGATGCCAACCTCAAACTTTGACATCACTTAATTTCAAATTCTAAAACCTTCACAGATAAGGTTTTTTAGCGTTTACAAGGACTTACACATTGACCACCTTGATGCCAAGGTCCTCACTTTTTTTTAAATAATTACTTTATTTAATTCATTATTATTATTTTAATTTGACCAGAGAAAGATAAAGAGAGAGGAAAAGTGAGAAAGTAAGCCACAAGGTCTAGGACTTGAACCATGGTCGGCCATGTGGTTGGCTATGTGGGAGTCCAGCGCCTTAACCACCACACCACCTAAAGACTCCTATTTCAATCTCTTTATCTATAATTTATTTATCTAATATGATTCATATTAAATTTAAGTTTTAGTTACTGACAAATTATGTGAGCTGAAAAGAAACTATGCATCTGTCTTCTTTTGGATCAATCTTTCTCTCTAGCCTCCTTTTATTTACTAATCATTTTAATTCTCTCTCTCTCTTCCTCTCCCTCTCTGGTCAAATTAAAATAAATAAATTAAATAAAACAATTCTTAAAAAAAAAAAAAACAACGATGCCAACCTCAAACTTTGACATCACTTAATTTCAAATTCTAAAACCTTCACAGATAAGGTTTTTTAGCGTTTACAAGGACTTACACATTGACCACCTTGATGCCAAGGTCCTCACTTTTTTTTAAATAATTACTTTATTTAATTCATTATTATTATTTTAATTTGACCAGAGAAAGATAAAGAGAGAGGAAAAGTGAGAAAGTAAGCCACAAGGTCTAGGACTTGAACCATGGTCGGCCATGTGGTTGGCTATGTGGGAGTCCAGCGCCTTAACCACCACACCACCTAAAGACTCCTATTTCAATCTCTTTATCTATAATTTATTTATCTAATATGATTCATATTAAATTTAAGTTTTAGTTACTGACAAATTATGTGAGCTGAAAAGAAACTATGCATCTGTCTTCTTTTGGATCAATCTTTCTCTCTAGCCTCCTTTTATTTACTAATCATTTTAATAAAGCCCTAATTTTAATG